ATTATCAAGGTTCGATCCACAAAAACAATTATTTATTTATATTAGGATAGACTGTCTACTTCACACGATTCATTTATGAACCCTGTATAAATATGAGATACTTTGCAACATACTACCTCTTTCTAGGCTTAGCTAGAAAATCCAACTTCAAGATCTCAATTTGGGCCCATTATTCACGATAAGATGATGATGATTATTTGATAAACAAAAAATGGAGAGACATGGCGAGATGTAGGGAAAGTGTTCACTAGTTTTTCTTCCTCTTGTTGCATGTACAGTCTGTTTTTATAACATTCATTCCATTTTCGTGGGTAATATTTGCATAGTGAAACAACTTTTACCGGACTTGACAATCATGTAATACATGTACATTGTGGAGTGATGAATCTTACATCACAGGCACATAGATCATCAACAACGACAATTATTACGAATCAGTTCCAAATAAATAAAAAAGTTTAAAATTCAGCTCAAGCTAATATTACGAAAATACAAACAACAAGTAGTGGCCAGGGCGAAGCTATATTGGCCTAAGGGTGGTTAACTGAACACTATTCGCCGAAAAATTATACTACGTATAAAATGAAATACTACTACTCACTAACAAAGGTTTGAATACCCTTGTTGAATTTTGTGACTTCGCCGCTGACTGTCACTTTTCAACTGTGTAATTGACAAATATTATCAGAAAAGTAGCTATTTTGATTATATGTGACTGTTTTGAAAACCTCATTTTCGGGACAGTGTAGCTATTTTGATTATATGTGACTGTTTTGAAAACCTCATTTTCGGGACAGTGATTATTTTTCAAATACTAAGATGATCAAAAGTGGCTAGCCCTCGCTATATTACTACTAATTGGTTTCAACTAGTTCAAAATTGGGCCATAGTTAAATGATACTACCTCCGATTCATAATATGTGTCTCTTTCTTTCTTTTTTCTATAAATTGAATTTATTTCTGAATATGTATTTAGTTTTTTTAAAATCAAGAAATATTTATTAGTTTTTTTGTTAAAAAAAACACAGCACTATACACCAATTATTGAACTATTTTTTAAGTGAGCCGTTTAAAAGAGAGATAAAGGATAGTTTAATTTAGATAAATACTCTTATATATAAGGCTATTAAAATCTTTCTTAAAATATGGGCAAAAACTTTTAAAAGACAGATAATATTTCCAGAGATAGAATAAACTTACTTCTACGCGGGAACAGGAAATGCTAATCACCTAATTATTAATGTCATAAATGAGAAGAGAAGGTAACAATAGATAGAACAAATCATGGTGAAAGATTATCATTTAAACAGAAGACTGAGAAAAAATTAGATGACCTCCAAATTATACTACCAAAAGCCAAATCGAATCCGATGAAACACACTGTACATAAACTTAATTAAGACGTAAAAAGTGCAAAAGGGAGAAGGAGATTCACCCCCCC